ACGCGCGGGCGGCGAGGCCGGAGCTCAGCCAGTAGAGGGCAGTCGGTTGGTGCAGGGGTCAGGGAATTTCCTGAACTGCCTTTAATTACTTCAGGCGTTCTTCGAAACCTGTAGAGGGTTCTTTTCTGTCCACATTCACCCTCTCTGATCGCCTGTGCTCAAATCGGGCTGTGTGTGGAGCAGGAGCTTTGTCTAACGTGGAATGACGGACGGTGTTGTGTTTGTCGCCCCACGCTGTTGCATTCAGGTTTGCGAATACCGCAGGGGAGCGTTTTGTAGCGGTTAGTGGGGCGTGGAGCGCTCTCCAGCTCCCGTTCCTAGCAAGTCAAACGGGCCCAATCCAGTTTGGTCAGCAACATGCTCTGCAGCTTCGATGAAAGCTGCAGCGATAGAGAAAGAGAAGATCACTGTGAAAATGTAGAGGCTCAGTGACCACCAGGGGTACCTAAAGACCTTCCAAGAGCACCGTCTGAGACTGTGCAGACTCAAGCGACTGCTATGTGTATAACCTTGAGCCGATTATGCGCGTTAAGCAGGAGTCATTCCCCTGCGTATCCAGTGCTGCAATAAAGAATTGCTTGCTTCTTTAATGCTACATTGGTGTTAAGAAGGAGTTTTAGTCCCGATTTTGGGTGACAACGACACAATGTCTACGTTGTTTTTTTCTGTAGTTAAAACTAGTTAGATTTTATCTCTTGCACCCTTCCAGAACCTCAGAGCTGGTCACCCTCTCCATTCTGAGGACAGCCTTGGGATCTGCTTTTTTGCCCTCATTCAGTGTAATAGACTTTAATTGAAATCTTGTGTATACTTGGACTGTTGTATTCTTAATTTGCATTGACAGGTGCATTAATTCCAGCTTAAACCTCCTGCAGCACTTGAAGCCTGGTGAAACAATCTGATGGCAGCTCAGATGACCAATGCTCATCGACGGTTCTTGCAGGTTCTGATGTCTAATGGGATAACAGAAGGATCAGAGGCCAGAAAATTACACCAGCACTGCTGTGAAACTGATAAAGGTGTGTCTGTCTTGGTGATGAAAGAACTGGGGTTTTTTTCTGGTGCAGCTTGCAAATAATTTGATTTCTGAAGGGCATATATAGCTAAAAAAAGTTTTAAAACTCTAATTCTATGAGTGTTCCCTCTCTTTCCTGAAAGATAACACAGCAATGAGTAAACTAACTTCTAATCAGGCCAGATTCGTATATAGTACTTTTTATTTTATCAAGGTTGTTGTTTGTCGGTTATACATATAAATGATTTAAAAAAAATAATTTTTGACACTGGAAGTACTTCACTATAGTTAATGCTTTTAAGTAAATGCACTTCAGATATTTCTCCCAGATGTTGTGGGAGAAGTGATTCTACAAAAATATTTATGTGAGGATGAGATGAGGTTTGTTGGTGAATTGCTGTGCTTTCTTCCCACCTCACCTGCCCTATATTGTCTATTCCAAATGCTGGAAGCTGTGCTCCTACCAGGCTTATGTGTGTCCCTTGCCATGCCACCATGCTACTCACTCTGCAGGGGCTCTTCTGGTTTTCCTTAGCTATAGATGAAAGGTCAGATTCCCACAAAGCAATCCATTTGTATGTCTCTTGAGTCAGGAACTGTAACTTGACCTACTTTTTAGATGCTAAAATTGTGAAGTGCAAGTTTTGGTGTTCTCTACCCCCTGTTCATTTTTTATGGAGAATTTTTATCCCTTTTTTTCCACATAAGATGTACCCAAGCAGCCATTTAACATTAGAATATAACATTAAAGTGTTAAGGCTGTTGTACAAAAGAGTACTCTGTATTCATCAGATCCTCCTTTAGTGACAGATCCTCTCTGGGATCTGTCACTAAAGCTCCCTGGCTGCTGTGTGCAGTGTTTCCTGCTGACAGGGGCCAAGCAGGTGGCAAAACTCTTACTTAATTTTGAGCTTACTTTACTCTCGATTTTGTTGTTTGATGACCTTATTCACGGAATGAATCTTGTATATCAGAATCAAGAACTCCTTGGCAGGAGCCAATGGTGATGGTGTTTTAATTGGAGGACCAATTAGGTCTACCTGTAGAGAACTAGAGTATAAAATAAACAATAGGTTTATTAAGAAAGAAATCATCAGCATTATGTAAATGTATGGAGTCTATGTAACTTATTACCTGGCCGGGGGCCTCCTGTAACGTTACTTAGCTCTGGTTTTTAAACCATACCCTGATGTAGGCAAGCAGGAGTATTGCCACTGACAAAGTCTTGTTTTGGATGAATTGTGAGGGTTGTGCTGGTGCTGTGCAGGCAAGAACCATTGTATACTCTTCCACAGAATGACTGCAAAGTCCATCCTAGTTATGTCTATGATAAAACTGCTGCTAGTGTTTGCTTGGTTTGTAGAAAGCGACTCAAGATATTTCTTGTGTTTCTACAACACTAGAACTTACGTTTTCTGATGTGTAACTTGTGCATTTATGTCCCATTAATTTGTGAAACAGAGAATACAGAAACAAGAAGTCCCTTGTGTATAAAGGAATTCAAGTCATTGTATTTTTCTATTGTGCATAACATTTTTTTCCCCAGTAATATAATCTTTTCAATTCAGCTTAGTTCAGGTCACTATAATTACTGGATTAGTGCTATGGGTTCCCTGCAACAAGGCAGGCTGTCTGGACTCTGTCAATTGATTTTAAGGGAGCTGAGCATCTCTGAAGGCCATGAAACAGCAGCACAAGGAAATTATATGTCTGCTGAATAGAACAGTTTGAATTCATATTTGAATTCTGCCTCAGGTTTATCACTCTTACCTGGGAAAAAATGTTTCACATAAAAAGATCTGCCTGATGTGTAGTTATTTGGCTTTTCTCTGTATGACTTTTCTCATTCATTTTCAGTTTACTATGCACACGATAAACTGGACGATTTCATCAGCACTATTAATACCAACCTGCAGCCTTTGTTTATGCAGATCCGGAAAGGAATATCGGAAGACAATGGGAGAGCACATTATGCTGTAGTAGGTACCTGCTGTGCTGTGTTTGCATGGGGCTGGCAGTGGCTGCAGGAGCTGCTGGGAGGATAAACTGTCACAGCCTGGATGCATGGGAATAGGACATGGCAGCAAGGATGACAGCAGTGTGGGTGTTGCTTAGCATAAACATTGCTTAAGTGCTGAAGGGAGATTTCTTTTCCACAGGAGTCTTTCTTTCCTGAGACAGATTTTTAAACTAGAAAACACAGAGAGCAGTCCAACATCAATTTTATTTTTCTCCCACTCAAAAATCAACCTAGCTCAAAAGGATTGCTGAGAAGTAGCCTAAAAGTTGTTTCCCCAGATGATCTGCAATGTGCATGTCAGAGAAGGTTATCTAGTAATTTCAGAAGACCATACAGAAGGTATCTAACATTAGCTGCTGCCTTTAACCTTTCCTTTTTCCAGTTAAGTTGAGCTACTAATTAATAGTAGCAGCATGTGCAATAAGAGTAGAAAACATGGGCAACTGGTTTTCACAGTGAAAAAAAAGGTGACTGATAACATAGCTGCTGTCTAGCACCGGACCAGTCTAGCATCTGTGATGTGTCAGCTCTGCTGCAGCACTCTGTGTCAGTTCTGGGAGCTTGTGTTGTGGAATGGCTTTGCCTGGGCAGAGGAAGCTTTGGAGAATTTGTGGCTGGAAGATGAGGGGTTGTAAAGAAAGAACTTGAATATCGTCAAGTGCTCCTCAAAGAACGAACATTTATGGTAATTGTAAGATGATGTATTCTTAACCTCAGGGGTTTTTTTACAATTTCTGGTATGAAACCACATTGGCACTTTGTCAGTTTATTTTTTTTTAGGTGAATTTGGCGGAAACTGAAGTAACTAAAATGGCATCTGACTATACAGAAATTGAATTGGAATTGTTCAGAAAAACAGTAAGTATGTCAGTTATCACTTAGTAAATCATGTTATTTGTGAAGTTCTCATCTTAAAATGAATGAAAATGGAAATGGAGATGTGGTTGAAGAAGTAGTTGCCATTTTACCTAAGTTTATCTGAGATCAAATTGGTGGAATGGGCAGGGATGAAGATATGTGCAAGTAATGATTTGTTGTTGTAAGTCAGTTATGGGTAAGGCAAAATCAGCACCAGGGAATGGCTCCCTGTGTTAGGGGCAAGACATGCCTACTTTTAGTTACACAAGCAACTTTCTTCAGGATTTTCAGTCATGACTGCTGAGTTTTTCACTGGCTTCAGTAGTTTAGTAATATATAGTAGTTTTTAATGCTGGTAACATATAAAATGAATTTGCTGATTTGCATTTAAACATTTGTCTATGGTTATTGAGGTTTTTCCTCAAAAGATCTTTGACAAAGAGCAGATAAAAAGAAATGGAGTATTTGTTTCCACAAATACAAGTATTTGTGGAAACATTTTCTTGGCAAAGATCAAAACTGCTAAGGGGACAATGATTGTTTCAGCTTTTGGCCTTTGTTTTACAATTGTGGTTCAAGCCATAGACTGTAGTATTTCTCACATATCTGGATGCAAAAAAAATGCATATCAGCACATTACTGTAAGGTGTGTCTGCCTAACTGCAGTGTTTCTAATATTGGTAATGTTTCTTCCTGTAGATGGACCTAATAATTTTATCAGAAAATGGCTTTGCCTCATCTACAGACATTTTAAATTTGGCTGACCAACTTAAGACAAAAAAAATGAAGAAAAAGGAAGCAGAACAAGTGCTGAAAGTTTTTGTGGAGGATAAGTGGCTCTCTGAGGTAACTGCATTCAGGTGTTCTTAGTCCAGTGGGTCCAGCTACAATGTTCTTAAGGATGTGGTAGTTGAAACTGGAGCTCTTCTTGAATGAATGATGGCAAAAATGGTCTTATGGCACCCATGCTTATTGCTGCTCCAGTGATTTTTGCAGAAAAGGAAGTAGACTTAAATGGAAAAAGTCCTTGGGTAGGTCTGTACAGGACGATGTGGTTTCACTTTTTTGTACTGGCGCCAGGTGGGTTTGTGTGTCCAGTCCTGCCCAGTGATGCATAGACACAACAGCACAGCAGCCTTTGTACACAGCTTTGTACACAACAGCACAGCATCCTTCAGCCTGGAACAAGAGCTGGGGAAAGCTCTTCAGAGTGATTAGTGCTGTTAGTTGCATTTAGAATTTCCTGAAAAGGAGTAAGGCCAGGCATGTTGAAAACTCCTGTACCAGGAATGCATCGGCCACTGTGCACGTAATTACATCTATTTTATTTTATGAGGAAGCAGTGGAGATTAACTCACCATGTGGACCGTGGTGGACTGACCATGTGGATACTGCAATTGCATGCTAAGTGAGACTTTAATCCCTTTTCTGCTGGAGTCATGGCATCATAGATCCTCAACCTGCTGCCACACTGTTACTTACATGTTAAGTTGATTTGGCAGATGTTTACAAAGATACATCAAGCAGGAAATGCCTAGATTTTGTTGAAAGCTGGAAGAATTTCCTCTAACATTCTTTTTGGGAGGATCCCAAAACAGCATGCCTCTATTAAGGAATGCATGCTCACTCATCTATGCTTTCCAAAGACTAAATCTCTGTTAAAGGTGTGGGATTTTTATTCTGCTCCTCTTAACAAAGGAGTTCTGCTATTTCAAAAGTGGTTCTGGCATTGCATTGTACAGCATGTTGGTTTCATGATGGTAGAAAGAAGTGGCTTGTTAACAGATGGTTAGCAAAGTCAAAAAGGTAAAAGGAATCAAAAGAAATTCTTAATCTCAACACTTGTTTCCTTAGAAAAATGGAGAATATACTCTGCATACTCGTTGCATAATTGAGATGGAACAGTACATTCTCAGCAACTACCAGGATGTGGCAAGGAAATGTAACATCTGTCACAGCCTCGCCATCCAGGTAACGTCATTTATCACCTCAGCTAAGGACTTGCATGGTCATAGCTGAGGTTTGTGATGCTTCCCCTTGAGTATAATCTTGGTCTTGTAATCTGGTCATGGTGCTCGTGCATTTTGTAAAAAAAAAATAAATATTTTTTTCCAATTTAGGCATGTCTTTAGAAATAAAATTGTCTTGGAGCAGTGTCTCCAAGTATAAAATTGGAAAAGTGCGCTCCCACAATGAGGAATATGGTTTTTCTGTCTAGCTTTCTAAACCAGCATGTTAGAGATGAGCTCCTGATGCTGAAAGAGGTTTAGCAGTGAGGTGTTAGCAGTGTCCTCTTTGGGCCTTGCCAATAGGTGTCATCGTGTGACACATTCATTCTTGGTTCTGGGATTTTAATTCAGCAATTCTTTGTGTTTGGACCTCAGAAGGAACACGTGTGCTATGTTGAGCATGCTAAAGCACTGTGTTTTGATAGCTGGGATGTTACCCATTCCATCTTGCTTAAGTAGTTACAGCCTGGATTCATATTCCAAAACTGCTACATTTTCTTGCTCTGAGAGCCTGCATCTTCTGATCTGCCCAAATAACATGCTTCCATATTACTTTTTCCATCCCAATTAGTCTCCTTTATTGCACTGAAATTGTCATCTTTCAAGCTAAATTTTGTCCATATAGGGAAACAGTATTTTCTCTTTTACAGAAAAAGACCTCCTTTTACCAGTTACCTGCTTTGACTGTTGAGTGTGTCCACCACCCATATTGTGGGAGCCATTCTTTGGAACAAAGTGTTGCATATCTGCTGCTCTTTGTAACAACTTTCTCTTAAATTGAAGGACAGTTTAGAATGATTTTATGAATCAACACTCCTGATTTCAGAGCCAAGTATGTGAATCCTGTGGAATTGGAATGCACTTACCTTGTGTCAGAAAGTACTTCAGAGGCCAGACTGAACCCCGCTGTCCCGGGTGTAATGAATTCTGGTCTTGTGACACCCCAGGTACTAAGCAACGCATTTTTAAAAAGTTGAATGTAATAATACTAGGGAATGGGCTGTGATGTTCAGTGGCACTGCCTGTATTATTTATAACTGTGAGTATCAGGTATTTCTGACTTCACTGGTACGTTTCAGACACTAAACCACACACAGGCAGCATTGAGCCCCTACAGTGCCCAAAGAGTGCCACAGGGGCATTAGCAGACCCTGTGCATATTTTTTATATCTATCTTTAGGAGGTAGGGGGGAGTGGGAAAGGAATAGAGGCACACATAACCCATGACACTAAAACTTCTGGAAATACTGAGCTTCTAAGAATCTCTTTGGAATTACTCCATTTGTCCAGGGAAATTTGACATTGTGAACAGCAACAGAGGAATATACAAAGCATTTTAGACAAGGTGATTTTACAATATTATCTTTTTTTTGGTGTGAATTCTATTAACCTTCCTTTAGTTTTCTTTACAGGTGTGGATCGGATGGGCTCCTAGACTTATCACAGAGCTCCACTCTTGGCCCTAGATGATGCCAGTAAGACTTGATGTCAGTGACATCTGTTTGCCACCACTCTGGCAGAACAGCCAGACTGTATTGTATTCATTAGTAACAGTGCTCAGTGTACTCGTTTTCTAAAGTTCTAAGAAACTTAAAATAAAAACATAATTGATGTTCCTGTTCACAGTAATGCTTGTACAGCTTTCTTGGAGGCTGTTTTGTTCTGTAATTCTCCATATTCTTAGGTTGCGACTCTCAGTGCATGTTTGGGGATGAAAGATGCAAATGTTTTAGTCAGTCCTGCAATCTGATATATGCAGCTAAACTCTTGAAAGAAGCCTTTCTCAGCAAGTGCTCCCTGTTTGTACAGGAACAGCACAAATTCAGTTGCACAATGGAAATGACACCTGCTGTAGCATGTCAAGCAGGTGAAAAATCAGTGCAGCGTGTGCAAGGCAGCTGGCTCAGTCTCTGACCTAAGGCTGGAGTTGGAGCACTTCTGGTTGGCACTGTGGTTGTGTTTTGTCCCTTCTTTAGATGCAGAAGAATTTGTCTTAATGTAAGGCCATGCAATGAGCAGCTGTGCTCTGTAAGGAGGGAATACTGCCACAGAAGGATTGGGAAGCAGTAGGACAGGACGTGGGGCAATGTTAGCTTATGTCTGTAAACTCCTGAAAACATTACCATACTGAGATTCTTTAGGTTTTTTGTCTTGGCTCTTGTCTCCAGTTTTAAGTAAGGATGTTTTTTCCTTTAAGAGTGACTTGGAAAGGAGCCAAGGACTGGCTATTGCCAGACACCAGACTAAAATGGCAGCATTCTTGTCCCTGGTAGAGATGTGTGACACAGCAGAAGGGCTGTGGCAGCAGTTCATATGATGGTTAATCAAAGTATAATTAAACCTCAGGTTGTCTAACTGCAATTAAACTATGGATTAACTTCAGTTATGTTCTAGGCTTTAACATGATGTTGTGGTTTAGAAATGGTACTCCCCAGATTAGTGTTTCCACCAAAACGCTCCAAACCACGAGATGCTTGCTCATTCCCTCCTCCCCCTACCTCTCCCCTCATGGAGAGGAGAATTGGGAGGTCCAAAAGATAAAGATCATGAGTTGCAATAAGAACAATTTACTGGAAACAGCAATGGAATAAGAAAATAAGCAGTAATAGCAACAATATCAATAACAGTGTACAAGACAGACAAAAGGTTCACACAAAAAGATTCACACAGATTCAATCACTAAAAGACCAAGGAACCCCTTCCTGCCCCGGCCTGCAGCAGTGGCAGGCTGAGGTGGTACAAAATAACCTCTGAGTCTGGGCCATGCCCCTCCTGGCTACTGCAAAAATGAACCCTATCCTGGCCAGAACCAGGGCATTAATAACTTTTTCCATGCAAGTGACTAGTACCTTGCTTGGTGTTAGCTTAATTTTTTAATGGATTGAACCTTCAGGTAGCACCATCTCTCTAGCTAACTCTAGGGTTTAGTGTTACTAAATCCAAGTAGAAGATAACCCTGACCTGATTACTAAGACAGAGGCTCAGGCAGAGCCCTGGCAGTGCCTGTACAGAGGCTGTTTCTGATGGATGCATACACAGGACAATGACCTAACAATATGCTCTTTAGGAGTTATTAGAAACATCTACAAAAATGAAGTAACTACAGCATCATCTTTTCACTTACCCATTGTGACTACTTCTACATGCTTTAGCAAGAGTTTGTTGGTTTTTGGTTTTGCTTCACCTCTAACCTCTCCTGAGAGAGAGAGGCTACTTGCCTGATTTTTAATTTAATTTCAGTGCTGCTATGTGTCAGAACTATGACCACCAGAAACTAACAGAGAAGCTGAGTTCAAGTGATCGCACATAGTGCCAATATTTAACTGGAATAAACAGAATCTGTCCAGGCATCAGAATACAGGACTGAAATGCAGCCTTTGTGAAATTTGGAAACTTGACCAAGTCTGGATCTTCCACATCAACCTATAAAAAACCAAACAATCATCAGAAGAATGTCTTTACTCAAACATGATTTGATAACATTATTGATTTTAAAATTTCAAGCAACTATTTACCTGACTAGTGTTGTGAAGAATTTGGCTTTCATGGGGGTACAGGTTTTCTGAGTCTTGTGGTGAATAGAGACGGATATACTTTCTTCCAAGTACCTGTATGTAATAAAATAAATGTTTTCCATTGGTCATTAACTGGCACATTACTGGAAGCTGTGGGCCATAGCTGGCATTTAACAGAAAAATATACCTGATTACAAGGAATATAATTATTGTTAGTAATAGACACTGCTATAATAAAAAGTTAAATCAGGCTACTGGAATTCAAGTACCTCTTCCCTTGGAGCAGATAAGAATTTGAAATACCATTGGGAAGGAAATGCATTAAATCAGATTGCTTTCAATTCAAAGTTCAAGGAACCCAGTTTATATATCATTATTTGGTCTCTACACAGCTAGAAATAAGAACTGAGAATAAGGAGGCTGAACCTTCATTGCAATTCACATCAATAGGCAGAGGTACTTGCACAGTGACTACTAACCTTCCATACACCCCTCAAACTCATTTCTGTCTCATCATTAAAGCAGTTCTTTCATTGGAGTGCTGAAATGAGATGAGAATTTGTAAGGCAAGTGGCCTGGCTTCCCTGAATGCTACATGAACTGCAAATTTTTGGTGTCAAGATACGGCAGCATGAACACGTCAAAGCTGAGTCCTCCACTGATACCAGTGGAAGAGAAGGTTTAGGGTGAAAATTCATACCGCTGGTGCCAGCATTCCAGACCACTGCAAGAGCTAGGTATGATCATACTTGGGAGCTGTCCTATTGTGAGTACTCTGACTAATCCCAGCAGCCTTGAGTGGCTACCCAACCATTCCTAACCAACTTGCTTTTCCTCACTAAAGAGGAAAGTATTACAGGGTATTTTTGGTGACATATGGAAGTAACAAAAATGCTAGTTATTGCTCCAATAGCATGTTCTCTGAATACTTGAAAGTTTTTTGGGACTGCCATCAGCTGTTAACACCTCCTTCTTTCACTTGTCTCACTGGATTAAGACCTTGTATATTATAAGATGGCAGGCACCAGTTCATGGGCAATAGCCTGCATCTCCAGAGACTGATTTTCTCATTAATGGAAAAACTATGATCTCAGCACCAGCCACCAGCCAGGATAATTTCATTTTGTAACTTGTACTTGTGCCTTCCTGTACTCCAAAGCCACAGTTTAAATGGCATCACAACACAGGGAAATTTTAATTGAAAGCTGCCAGATTATAAAGACTCCTTCACAGCACTGGCAGATAATCTCCTATTTTTTTCAGGCAGAAGAAAACAAGTTCTGAGGTTTGTACGGGAAGTATCTTTTCCCAGTCCAACAGCTCCTATAAATTTTTGTTCCACCAAGAAAAATTCCCCTCAAGCTTTACATAACATGAATAGTACAGTACTTCACCTTCAGAATGCAGCTGTAAGAGTGTGCTGAGCAGGTAGCATGCAAAAGAAATACAATCCATAAAAAGTTGCACAGCAGTTGTAAAAAACCATTCTAGGAAGGCCTGAATTAAGCCTCAGTTTCAAGTGAAAACGTATGTTAGCAAGATGCAACTGGGACAGAGAAACTAAGGCTCAACCCATAAATAGCCATCAGTAGAAAGTAATGTCACAATCCTGCTAGAAAAGTGTGAAAGTGTATGTGGTATTTGCTGGGTCCCAGGACGAAGGAGGAATTGAGAATCTGACTCCATGTTCTTAGAAGGCTAATTTATTATGTTACTATATTATATTAAAGAATGCTACACTAAAGAATACTAAACTATATTAAACAATAGAGAAAAGATACATACAGAAGGCTTAATAAGGTACTAATTAAAAACTTGTGACCCTCTCCAGAGTCCTGACGCAGCTGGACTGTGATTGGTCATTAAGTCAAAACAATTCACATGTTGGATAAACTATCTCCAAACCACATTCCAAAGCAGCAAAACACAGGAGAAGTGAATCAGATAATTATTGTTTTCATTTTTCTCTGTGGCTTCTCAGTTTCCCAGGAGAAGAAATCGTGGCAAAGGGATTTTTCAGAAAATATGATGGTGACAAGTGTAAGCCTGGATTTTTTTAAGTCTGATGGGACAGCAATCTCCTTCAGTAAAAAAAAACACCTCTCAGTGTTCAAAGATTCACAGTAGTCAACTGCTTGGATCCAGAAGACATCCCTTTGACCTGTTCAGTGCTTACCACAAAAGGCCCAAATATTTTATCAGGTTATTCTGCACTAGAAGTCATCATCAAAAAGCCTACCAAAAGAAACACTAAAGAAATTATGTCAAAGTACAAGTTTTAATTCTTATCTCACTGCATGCATTAATATTTTACTGGGTAACCTGAAACAGACTAAAGTATGCATCTAAGTCCACCTCAAAACCTTGCTTTCCAGATGTGCTGGCTTTGGCTGGGGTAGAACTACTTTTCTTCCCAGTGGCTGGCATAGGACTATGTTTTGGATTTGTACTGAACACAGGGTTGATAATATAGAAATGTTTTTGTTCTTGCTGAGCAGGGTCTACACAGACCTGAAGCCTTTTCTGTCTATCATACTGCCATGTTGACAAGGAAGCTGGAGGTTCCTGGGAGACTGGGAGGAGACACAACCAGGACAGGTGACCCAAACTGACTGACCAAAGGTATTCCAGACTACATGACATCATGTGTAGCATATGGGAGAAGAAGAAAAGGAAAGGGGGGATGTTTGGAGTGACAGTGTTTGTAATTGTTAAGCATGATGGGCTCTGCTCTCCTGGGAATGACTGAATGACTGCCTGCCCATGAGAAGCAGTCAAGTAATTCTTTGTTTTGCTTTGCCTACATACACAGCTTTTGTTTATTAAACCTCAATCCACAAGTTTTCTAGCTTTTACTCTCCCCATTCTCTCCCTCATCCTGCTGGTTGGGGAATGAGAAAGCGGCTGCATGAGGCTTGGGGATTGGCTGGGCTCAAACCACAACACCAGAAAAATAAACTCCTAAGTACAACATGACAGGATCCAGATTCTTCCCAACTCTGCTACAAATTCCCATCTGTAAAACAAGGGTAAATACTGGTCTCTCAACGAGCAACACTTGTAGTCTGTAAGATTACATTCAGTAGTAAGTTGCTGTAGTGACAGATGCAATAAAGTAGCAAAATAGTATCTGCATGTTCTCTAACCTTCGATTGTTCAAGTTGTCTGCTCCCCTTGTCTCTAACACATACCGTAAACATTTTCTCTAAGTATCGCATTAATGGCATGTGCAGAGTAACTAGAGTACATACCTGGGCTAAAAAATTTTGCTGGGGATCCTGATGAAGAGGTGAGACTGTCCCTCCTGGACCAAACCAGGCATTAATGGTGATGTCATCTTCTTCCCCTTCCCCCAGGCAGCAGTAGTCAGGGATACTGATATCTTCTTTCAGTTCTGGGATCTATTTCCACAAAGAAAGAAACATTAAAAAGGGTATGTGCTGACTTGCCAAAATACGTAATTCATGAAACAGATGAGCCAGGCTGGATGCAAAGAAAACAAATGACTGGCTGGTCCGCAAGAGTAGGAGAAAAGTAGCTGACCTGCTAGGAATCTGCAGGAAATGTTCTCAAACTTTCTGTTCTAGTGAGCGGACTCTGTTGGAAGGAGAAGCAGGAGAAAGAAAGCGGTTTCCTCATTCTTCAAGAGACCCTTTGCTTTTGCAGAAATCAGAGACACGTGCAAGAGTAAGTACATTTGCGCCTCATGGAAAAGGAGCAGCTATCTCTTCCATACTATGCTTGCTTCCATTTTTATGTCTCCCACCAACATAAGCTCTGGTAAACTGGAATGACATTTCAGATTATGGTAAACATATTAATGTTGAAAACTTTCCTGTCCAAATCTCTTCCCTGACTTATGAAAGGGGCTTTCCAGGTGATATCCCCCTAAGTATATGCTACGTTGTACTGAAACAGCACCAGGATTGAATGTCTTCATCCCAAACAGCATTTGTTTCCATGTCTTGTAGCCAAATGGAACAAACTTCTCCCTCGGATCCTTCAAATCATGAAAACAGAAACTTAAGAATTAATTCTCCATATGCCCTTCAATCTAGTACAGTCAACATCTTGAGACACAACTTGTGCTGCAACAAAAGGAAGACAAAAACATTCACTCAGTTTTACCTGATCAAAAAGCTGGTGCTGGGCAAGGTATCCTACATTGTTCTGAAATAACAGCAGAGAAAGAAAAAACACAGTAACATACAGGTAAATTAACTGTGAGTTAATTTACTTACAGGTGAATAGAATTTACTTAGAGTAAATTCCAATGTCCTGTTCAGAGTACTATATATAAGTATTTCAACAGTATAAGGTGCCTTCAGAAATAGCAACTTACAGCTCCATTGAAATAGTGAGAGTGTAGGTGTGTCTCCACAATGAATAAATTATCCAGCTTGAGTTACTGAAGGAAGCTGGGATTTCCTATGGAGTCTTGACAGCTCACAATGCACTGCATCTTTCTAGCCAGACTCTGCTGGCACACAGACCAGTTCTCCTTCAAGCCCTGGAAATACTTCCACACTCTATTCCAAGGTGCACCACAGACCAGCTTGTTATTGCACATAGTCCTTCCTGCCAGAGGGTCAGGAAACAGAAATGGGGGCTTGGGATCCTCATCTCTGAAAGCAAAAGGGCATTCCAGATGCTAATCAACTTTGTATTTTTCTGCCTCATGGCTTGTAAATTTGGATCTGATCCTAAATCTCACTAAGGAGTTTAATGAGACAGAAGAACAACACTGCTGGCTGAGGATCCCTTATTCTTAGATTCCACTAGTCAGGTTTTTGCTGCGTATGTATGTGTGTATCTATTAATCAAATTCCAGCTACTGTACATTTGATTATAGGTAAAAATCGAACTTATTGTTGCAATAATTATTCCTAGCTTCTGGTCTTAAAAATATGTCAAACCTTTTCATTCAGAGCTGTGCTTACAGCACACCCCCTCCCTTGATACCACCTCTGAGTAGGTTTGTTGTAAACAGAACTGTTGTCTGTGTCAGTACCATGCTGCTGTGTTTGGAGATTAAACAAATGAGTGTAACAGACCTCATCCATGATATACTGGCTGATGAAGTCACTGACAGTCATGAGCTGCTGAGACCATTCCTCATCTGTATACCGAGCACCCAACTCCACAGGGACTGTGCGGCAGCCTGCGACTTGACAGAAATAGTCCACACTGAAATAAAGAAAGTTCCATTACCTTCTATACTGCTTTTACTAATTTTGAATGTAAGGCAATCAATCCAAATCAATTTTGTTGGGTAATAAAATTCTACTACCCTGCTTTTCTCCTGTCTAAACCAAACCAGCCAGAAGAAAAAGGCAGAATAAAAGAATGCAAGCAACAAGGAAATCAGCAGGCAGGTTTGTGTGTACATCACCCCACAACTGTCAGTTTTGTTTTGGTTTAAAAGCCTGTTTGCCTCAGTTGTTTCATTCCAAACTAAGAAGATTTAAGCTGTTACTGTCTCTTGGCAAGGGATGGCTTTCATGGAAGGCCAATCTTTTTGCTGTCTGCTGCCACATTTGATAACATGTTGTATCTTTTACTCAGTAATATTAGATCAACTCTCTGTCAGTGTCTATACAGGTGCCAATAATACCCATTCCAATTGTAGCCAGAGGGATTACTTTGATGGGTAAAATACATCTCTCCATGGACGACAGTACTAATTAAACTGAGAAACTAATCTTGCGAGTGATTTTTTCCCTTTTCTGGGGAATCATGACCTTCCCCTCACAAATACCTGATGGTCAGTATTGGAAATGTGGGCACCATTGCATGCAGTAACCAGGCAGCACAATGCTGTTACTCAGTCCTGCACAGTGGTGTCGAAAACTCAACACTCAAACACAACACTGAACAAACATCAGTGCTTGGACTTAAGAATGAAAAGTCAACCATGCTTACTCTTGGCTCTGAAATTCACTTTCCATTGCAGTAATTATCGGCAAGCTCCAAGAGGTAAAAACCATTGATATGTGTGCTTGACACAGATCCACGGAGCTGTAAACAGCTCACTGGCACTTGGCAATGTGCACTTCTCATGAGATCCCAGGTGTTGCCATTGGGCTCCTGAGACGGCTTAAGTCTGGGCAGAGGGCAGCCTTCCCCCATGAAGAGCCAGAGGCTGGTCAAAGAGTCACCTTTGGCTCCGAAACAGCCCAGCATCTGCCTTGAATGCTATGAAGAGCTTCTCTCATCTATGAAGCAACTTCCACAGAGCAGTAGGACAGTGCTGCTAGCAAAATGCACTGCCCACGGTATCCATTGCCAGGGAAGGCCTGCGGCTCTATCGAGCATCAAAACATCCAACGCAAGGAACGATCGTGCCTTCACTTGGACAGGGAAGGAATTTCTCACCTCCACTTCTTCATACACGGCCAGTGATCCATGACGCCCTCCAGGACCACGGGCCGCTGGGGAACGAGGTAGTTGTCTCTGAAGTGCTCCAGCGAAGGACAGCGAAGGTGCGGGATCAGCTCCTCATGCTGCGCGGCGCAGGGCGGCGGCGGCTCGGCCCGGACGCTCTGGAACGGACGCTCCCCGTCAGCAGCCGGCACAGGGAGGCCGGGCCGCCGGGGGAGGGGCTCGGGGGGCGCGGGCGCTACCTGGGCGCGGGCTCCGTCGCGCGGCGCCGCGCGGGGCAGGTGCGGCTGGAGCGCGCGCACCAGGCGCGCCAGGACGTTGTCCAGGACGGAGGCGCCCATGAGCAGCCCCAGGTCGCAGAGCCGCACGGCGCGCGCGAGCGGGCGGCCCGCGGCCACCTCGGCCAGCGCCCCGAAGAGGCAGCCGTAGGCGTAGACCTGGCGCCAGCCCTTGCCGACCTCCCGCCATGGCCCCGCGTTCAGCTTCTCCCAGGAGTAGTCACGCAGGACGTCGCTGAGGCGCTCCAGCGCCGCCGCCGTTGCCGCCCCGGGCCGGCCCGCCGCGCCGTAGAGCAGCGAGCGGGCCCGCCGCAGCAGCGGCAGGACGCAGTCCTCCACCTCGCCGCTCAGCGCCAAGGTCAGCCCCTCCTCGGCGCGGGGCAGCAGCGCCCGCACCTCGGCCCACAGCGCGGGGCTGTCGCTCGCGCCCTCCGCGCTGCCGGTCGCCGCCATGGCGGCGCCTGCGTCGACGTCCGCGAGGCGGCGCTGTCGGGCCGGGCCCGGCTGGGGCTGGGGCTGGGGCTGAGGCGGGGCGCGGGGCTGAGGCGGGGCCGGACGAGGCTGAGGCGGCTCCCGGAGCCCAGTCGGGCTGCCCGCGCCGGGATCGAAGCTTCTGTCGTAGCGCCGAAGCTATGTCTCGTCGTTCTTTACCTGTGCACTTGACCAGCGAGTCAGCTGGAATTGCGTGACTGTGATCGGCACTGCTTTCGCAGTAAAGGGGAGCTCATAAGACGCGGTGAATGTCGCGGTCTCTTCTCCGGCCGTTCAACGAGGGCCGGCGTGAGGAGGGGCTGCCTGCGCTGTGGAAGCCTCTGAGTCCCGGTCGCGGGACAGCGGAGCGCAGGCGGTGAGTGCTGGGGGAAAGGGAGATGCGCTCTTCCCAGCTGACCTATTGTGCTGCAAAGAAACGTCTCTGCCCGGCCCCCTCGAGGAGCTCGAGCGGAGCCCAGCGCGGCTCTGAGCCCGCGTCCTCCCGCTGGCTCAGCTGCTCGGTGTTAATCTGCGCATAGAACGTGCTTTCTGCATGGGATGTGCACGAAAGTCTTCTTTCTAACGCGCTGGGCACGGCATCACTGAGCCCCAACTTGCTTTGATAATGTGCCCTGAACTTAATACTAAATATTAAGTTCTCAGGACTTAATACTTGACTGCAAAGGCAAAATAATATTTTACTTAAAATTCAGCAACTGAAGAATGTTTTAACAGGGTGAACGAAACTAAACACCATAAGAACAAATGAGGAATTTTTAGCTCCTAGTTAGGGTTGAAATCTTCAGATTTGAGACAAATCCTAATTTACAGAAAAAGTTAAAATCATCATTTTCTGTACTCAGACACTCACTCTTCTTTGTTCCATGCTCAGTCATTAGTGCTTTCCAAAAGGGAAAAAAAAAAGTTGATGTGAATCCTTCTGTTGCTGCTGGTGGTGGCTCTCCCCTGCCTCCCAGCTGTCTCCTCGAAATGATCACTTCTGTTTTCACACTTCTCACACTTCAAAGTTGTGCATTGCTTATCATGCTGGCCTGTCTATTGCCTGTCTTCTGACTGCCTTTCTCTTAGCACCTTAAATTCCTTATGTGACAGTGTGATTTTAGCACCTTCATTCACTATTTTCTACTTAACTGCTAAATGTCAATATATGCTGGTGTAGGAGAAAGTATTTAAATGTCAAAGAGGTTTTCTTGTTAGACCCTTTGTTCATTATTTGCAATTTAGGATGATAGCAGCCGTTGTTAGTCTTGTGTTTGTGGACTGTCCGCTTTTTATAACCATTTACATTAACCTCTATTTGCATTTAGGTTGGTTAATACAATTCTCATAAATAATAGTTTTTGTAGTTTAAATAGGAGTAATATTTTCATGAGTTTCACTTAGAAGATTAGGATTTCATTTCTGGAATTTCAAACAACACCAAGGTCTGAACAAGTAATCTCCAGCACAGCAGTACAGCGTTGAGGCCAGGGTGAGCTTTGTCAGTTTCACTTCAGGTGATTTTAGTTTTTGAGTATTCAAGGAGGCTCAGTGTTCCTCTGTGAGTATACACTGGAAGACAATTATTTCTAGTCAGTTTTGGTGCAATAGTTTCAATTCTGATATGGCATCAATAGTCTTGAATCACAGAATCAACTAGGTTGGAAAAGACATTTTGAGATCATCAAGTTGAAGCTAAGACCTAACACCGCCTTGTCACCCAGACCGTGGCACTGAGTACCATTTCCAGACTTATCTTAAACACCTCCAGGGATGGGCACCTCCGTGGGCAGCCCATTCCAATGCACAGTCACTCCTTCTGTGAGGATCTTCTTCCTAATATCCAGCCTAAAACTTGCCTTGTGCATCTTAAGACTGTGTCCTCTTGTCCTGTCAGTGGTTGCCTGGAAGAACAGACCGAGCCCACCTGGCTACAAACTCCTTTCAGGAAGCTGTTGTTGCAGTTAAAGGGGCTGTATATCTGCTGAGCTAATAAAGCTCAGATCTTGGGCTGTGTACTGAGTCTTGTGTGTTCGGCCTCTAACCTTGGAGGAAAATCCACGAAAAGCTCATAATATCATGCTGCATCTTAACAACTTGGTTGAAATTATCTTTGCTGGGGGGAAAAGACCCAAAAACCCAACAGATTTGCAAATGCTGAATTGGGAAGGTTAGTCTCTCAGAGCAGTTAACCTTGCAATAATGCATGCTAGCTTTGAAATGCCTGTAAAGCTACTGCAGATGTTTTGTGTAAGCTGGCTGACCAAGGAAGTGGACGACTTCAGTGCTAGACATTTCCATTTTAGTCAGGAAGAGAGAATTTAATTCCTGCTGCCAAAGAACAAAGATTACTGTCATGTGTCTAACCTGCAGAAACTGATGGGAAAAAGAGTTCCATGGATTATGCCACCATCACTGAAACTTGATTTTGTTAGAAGTAAATTTTTAAAAGATTGTGGAAAGCAGACTGCCTAACCTTGTAGAAAGATGTCCCTTAAAGCATAGAAGAAAACTTGGTACCAAGGCTTCCTCTGCTGCTTCCTGGGTTATAGTCTGTGCTTTTTGTTCTCTTTATATTCTGTGTATTTTTAAATATGCTCCAGCCACCTATTTTTCTTTTAGCATGGACTTTCAGAAAGAAATTATCTATTTTAAAAAAAAAAAAAACCAAATTAACAGGCACACAATTAAGGGAGATAATGCCATCTGTATACAGATAAAACCATCTGTATTTTGCTCTTCTGTTTACAGTCACATATTCCACGACCCACAATGGATGTTACCTTGTCTGCCACTGGTGAAAAAATAATTAGTTACACCAAGTGTAAAAAAAATACACTCTGTATCTTATCTTGAATTTGTCTTTATTGAAAAGAGCATTGGCCAAAGAGTATTTGGCCTATCCAGAATTTAATTTTTCTTAAAAAATTATTTATAGGAATATTCTCCTTTATAGCACTCTTTTCTCCTTTGCTAATTTGAGTTAATGAACAAAGCCCTGTGATTGTTTTTGGATTTTATTAAAGTTACATCAAGACACATGCTCAGTGGTTCACCACGGAAGTCCAAAACAGGACATTTGTATTAAGTGGATCAATTTCTAAAATGACAGTATCTGCTTGCCTGTACATATTTATTTATGATTCTTCCTTAGGTGAATGTAGCAGAAGTCTGGTGAGGAATAGCCAGCTGTTGGAATTAGCAGATAGAGAAAGCAGTTATTTGTTCTGTGAAGGAGTGTGAAAGCTGAGGCCAGGAGTAATAAAAACTAAATAGATGCCCCAAATATCTAACACAAGTCAAGACGTGTAAATTGCTTGCTGTGCTGAATGGTGAAGTCATCTCAGATGAGTTACCTCATCTAGAGTTCTTGTTAAAGATGAAACCTTCTTCAGTGCAACATCATGTCTAGCAATCCAGAGCAGAACAAATAACATTGAAGATTTTTTTTCTCAGGACTTGGGGCTGCTGCTCAGCTCCTCAGGAATGCCACGTCCCTTTTGGCACCTGGTACTTTGGAATTTATACTCTCCTTGAAGGGAGGATGGCAAGAAGATGGAGCCAGGCTCTTCTCAGTGATGCCCAGCAATAGGAAAAGAGGCAAAGCACTGGTGCATAGGAAGTTTCACCTGACCCTGAGGAAGAACTTCACTGTGTGGGTGAGATGCACTGAACAGATTGCCCGGAGAGGGTGTGGAAAGTCCCTCATGGGAGATATTCCAGAATGTACTGGACATGATCCTGTGTCAAGTGCTCTGGGATGACCCTGCTTGAGCTGGGAGGTTGGGCCAGATGACCTACCTGTGATCCCTTCCAACCTGGACCATTCTGTAATTCTGTACCAGGGAAGGTGATCTGTTCCCTCGTTTCCAGGGCTTTTGGAATGCCTGGGCATGTGCCTTTGCTGGCCATCACAGCAGGTAAGTGCCTGCCAGTCTTGGCAGTGTCCAAGAGCAGGGATGAAGAGGAGACAGGCTGCTGCTGCTGCTGCCCTGCCACCAGTGCTTAGGCTGGTTTTGCTTCCAGGAGTGGTTGACTGGTACCTTCCATGAGCAGTAACACAATATACTCACTTAACATCGCCCCTGTGCCTCCCCACCCATGCAAAAAAAAAGGTAAAAATAAGTGAAAATGGAACCTAAGATGCCCTCTGGCACTTAAATGGGAATATAAATTGATAACTGCCATAAAAGCCATAGTTGGCTCTTATTTTCCTTTACAGGAAATGATTGTCTCCTCTTCTGCAAAAAAAAAGTGTAAACACATAAGACTAAAGATTTTGGGTGTCTTACCAGATTGCTTTTTCTCTTCCTCTGAACAGGAGATGAATTATTCTGATTAAAATATGTACAGAATTAATTATTAAACATAATTTTTCTCAGATGAGCAAGGTCTTCCTGATTGAGAGTAACACAGCCATGTATTTTCATGGTATCTTGGAGCTGAGTGTAGTTGTGCAGTGACAGTGTAATGACGGATATATCTTTATCAACCTGTTCCCTGAACTGTTTTTATCACTGCCATCTGCTTGGCCAAGAGTGGCAGCTGCCAGGTCTCACAAATAGTGCTGTCATGTACTCTCATGTAGAACAACATATTGTTGTAATTTCCCTGATATTACTACATGAAATAACTTTAGGTGAGAGAAGGTGACATTTTGCATGGCACTTTGAAATGCGTCGCATTGCTTTGGGTATGGGACACACAGTGTTCTTTCTGGGGCAAGCTATATCAGCACACCCAGTTCTACTTTCAGAAATCACTGGGAAATATTTATTTTACAAAAACATTACGTAATATCCATCTGGGACATGTGTCAGTGCTGAGATGCAACTGAGACAGTATTGCTCACACATGTAGCCTTAGTTACCTTTGCTGGATGGAAGTTATGTAAGTTAGACTATTTTAAAGTTCTTTTTCCTTATATCAACTTGAATCCCCTTCGTGTATGCAAATACGTTCAGACAGCTCCTTTAACATTAGAGAAAACATAAAATCTTTACAACTGTAATGAACGAGTGTTTTAAGGTTGCTTAAAGAATCACCAGTGAAGGTATCAGCAAAAGTATGGTTGATATAAAAGTGGAAGCATAAAAAATTTGTTTGCAAGGTTAACTCTACTACTTCATTTAAGAAATAGAAAAAGCAAACTAAAGTCTAAAATCAGTCTAAACCCAGAATTAACTCAAATGTTATCTGTGTGAAGGCTGGGGGATGGAGAGGGAAAAAGGTGAGGGTAGAAAATGATAAGGATAAAAAGGGATAAAGAAGACCCTCCTGCTGAGTCCCAAGGTTCAGAATGAACTCTGCTGAACTGACCTGGGGTGTGACCGACAGTTTAGGCCCAAATGTTTAACAGCTCTTATATTTAGCAACACTTAATTGACAGCTCAAGTTGAACAATTTAACAAATGATTAATTTAGCATTTACTATAGGGCAACAGTAACTACCAGGCCTAATTTACTTAAAAATCTAAACTTAAGAATTTAAGAGAGCAGCATTTATAATACAATTCAAATAGTGTATTCACATTTGCACGCACAGAGACATAAACACTATTTACAAAAATGTGAAAAATTCCCTTCAAATTCAGTGAAGGATTCCCAGTGGATGCCTTTGCATCTTCTCAACAGGCAAAGGGTTGAGCCTCAAGGAGTGGAGGCATCAACCCAGCATCTATCTTGTCATTCAGCAGTGGTTGTCTGAGTACAGCAAATGAGAATTCACTGGCTCTGAGTGGCCCCAGTCAAAAGGAGGTCACTGGTCGCAGCCTTCTGCAGTCCAGGAGAGTTCAAAGGGTCTCATTCAGGACCCATGTTTGTAGGGTCTCAAGAGAGTGGGTTTCAGTCACAGTAATTTTTCATCCTGGCTGCAATTCGCTTTGGTAACTTCCTTTGAAATTTCGGTAACAAAAATGTTGCTCCACTTAGGTTGTTATTCAGGCTAGAAAAATGAGTTTCCAAGGCTGTTTGTTAAAAACAGGAGCTGATTAGACAGCACCACTTCCTGGGAACGGACACTGTTTCTGAGAAGCTCAAGAGGAGCTTGGCACAGGTGCTGTTTGTCAAGGCCAAAGCCTAGCCAGCATTTCTTGGATCATACTGTGACCCAAGAAGGAATGGAGCAGATGCACTACCACAAGAACAAACCTTTAAAAGAATCTTTATAGCTGCAGGTGCAAAGAAAACTGAATTAGGATATTTCTTATTGCTAATGAGCATTAATGAGAAACAGCCTTTCTCATGAGGCAGAAAACCCTGTTGTCATGAAGAAGGTAGAATACATATTCTTGATTCTTCTGTCATTTTCTTGTTCAAGTGCCATAGGATGTCAACTGCTGAACAGCTGATTGGCAGCCTGAAGGTCTGAGGCACAGAGACAGCTGGCTTGCAGTCAGCCTGTTTGGAACACTGCTGCAGGTACTAGACTTCCTGATATGAGTGTGGAAGGAAGTGAGGGCATGGGTCCTTTATGTCTTTCTGTTTTATCCGAATGGATGTGTAGCTTTGGCGCTTCATTGCTAGCGAGGCAGAGGCCATTGGAATTGCGAACAATGTTCTCCCAATGGCAAATGTAGGGCCAGGCCAGAGGAAAGTCTCTTGGCATTTAGGTGGTGATGTACACTCCGGAAATGTAAGGCTTACCTGTCATTCCAATAGTGCATTTCAAGAGCTGATGCAGGCTCCTGCCATTGTACTGATCTTGTGCTCACACGAGATTCCCTTTTTCTGCTAAGGGCTGGGACATATAATTTTCATCAGCCACACTTTATATACATTTATGTACATTAAGAGGAAGAATGTTTATACATATATATAAACATTTTTGCCTTCCTCCCAGGATTTAAAAATCTCATTTGAAACTGTTTTATTCATCCCCTGAACTAGAGCTATAAATGCTGCATGAATTTGTTTTGTGCTCTAAGTATACACATTTATCTGTGTTCCTAAATCACATTCTTATTAATGAGCACAGTGGTTGCGCTCCACAATTGTTGGTTGTATTTTGTTTCTGTGGATGCTTTTGAAAGATATTTTAAAGTCTTCGTTGGAGTTTGCATGTGCTTCAAAAATTAAATTTAGTCTGTGATTTTATTACACTTTTAATTTAATTTATCTTAACTGGTGCTTTCAAGCTGTGAACCAGCTGTTGACTTTGAAAAAAACATTGTTCAATTTGAAAGGAGCATTTTAAAGCTTAATGTAATGGCTGTAAGTAATCACTACAGCAATTATATTCTCTGGTGTTGTGCGTCACTATAGCAATATTGGAGGAAGTAAGAAAATGCAGGAAAGAAACCCAACAGGTTCATATGTCTCAGTTTTGTCTGCAATGTCCAGCATCTGTCTGTTCTGTGTAGCTTGGTGTCCCTGCTTGAATTGTGTTAGAAAATAAGAAGCTTCACTTTGTTGTGGCTCCATGTTTGCCCAGCAGCAATCAGGGGCTCTTGGCTGTGCTCTCCTTGGACTGGAGACAGGTTTTGATTTTTCCCATGCGGGCAGATGGTAGATATGCTGCTCTGCTTGCCTCCTCCTGACTCATTCCAAGATATTGTGTAGAATTTTGGGGTTGATTTTTCTTGAGCAGCTGTGTACCCACCTTGCCTGATACTTGTGATAGCAAAGCTTTTCACAAAGCATACAGAGAGTGTGGCCAGAATGGGAGGCCTTGGTGTCCTGTAAGGTCAGGCCATGCTCCCAGTGTGCTCTGGAAAGCATGATAAAGAGAATTAATAGAAATGGGTGTATTTTCATGCGCATTCTGAGAAGGAACAGCCTCCATTTATTTGTAGCTCTCCAGTTCAGAGAGGCTAGGGTTTTTGTGGAAGAGAATTTTCTGGATCACTGCAGTGAGGATAAGGGAAGAAGCATTCCTTCATGTTGTAATAGTCTATGAAAATGTTGTGCAGCTTCAGCTTCCTCTGCCCTGGAGATTCTCTCCATCATGACTTTTAAAGGAATGTAATACACATCACTGTGGAAATAGACTTATATTTTCCAACAAGTCACCCAGACATGCTTTACACACAGCTTGCGTTTGAGAACTATGGACAACACTATTGCTCCAAAAAGTCAGTGTAGGGTCTCTGCTTTTCACAGAATCCCAGAATGGCTGGGCTTGGAAGGGGCCTCTGCAGATCATCTAGTCCAACCCACCTAAAGCAGGCCCACCTAGAGCAGGTATTTTTGCCAGTGTGTGTTGTGGAGCAGGTTCAAGTCACCTGCCTAGCTACCATCACTTCCTGTTAACAGCTCTGTGAAGTAACAGTGCAGGTGGGAAAAACCCCATAGGAAGCTTAGATTCAGCAGTATAATAAACCTTCCCTAAATTTAATTTGTTGCAAGATCCTTCAGAATACGTATCTAATGACAGCAATATCTGAGCTGATGCAGTATTGTGAGAATAAAAGGAAGGACAGATGTGCAGGGAGAAGGGGGCATTGTGAACTTTGGATGAACTGGAGACTGGACTTGCTACTGAGGCATAATTACAGTTATTTGGTTGCCATGGCTTTTAAGAAAGAATAGAATATGCATCTGGGAGTGGGTTTTGTGATGGCACTTGTCGTAGATTGTATTAGTAATACGAACGGGGTGATCCTCTGCTAAAGGTAGCCGTGCCTTGGCATGGGAACACCCTGCTGGAACGTATGTTGCTGTAAAATGAAAAAATGAAATTTTCACAAGAATGAAGGCACAACTGTCTGTGCTTGCAGTGTGCATTTGTGGGACATCTTCAGCAAAAGGAGTTTCAGTGTAGTTTCCCATTTAGCCACCTGTGTGGATAAAAAGCTACAGATCCAAGCATGTTTCAGAAATCAGGCATGTCCCTTCTGGACACATGTGGCAGAAGCTGGTATGGTGATCACAGAGGTCACAAAGGGACAGAGACAGAATCTTCATTGTGACAAAGCCAATA